CCTCCAGAGGTCTCAGAGTTCCCATTGCTGGTCTGTGGGCTCCTTCTCCCTCTGACTCAGTGCTGACACCTGGAAGCCCACCTGGGCTCCTGTCCCCTGCTTTCTTCTCTGAAGGTCGACTCTCTGCACCTTCCCCTGCTTCAGTTTGCTGCCTTGAAAGATAATCATGACCTGGCCGGAATATCCAGGCAGGACGAAAACTGGGTGTCTCCTCTCTCCAGTTTCAGTTGAAGAAGACTCCCACAGCTCCCAAGAACAGGCGGCTGAGACCCCGAAAGCAAGGGTCAATGAAACTGGGAAAGTATTGGGTTGGCCAAAAGGTTCCTTAAGGTTTTTACCTGAACGAACTTTTTGGCCAACCCAATACTTGGAAGCAGGAGGCTAAGAGCAGCCATTAGGTTGGTGGTTCTCACCTGGGTAATTTTTTAAAAAACTGATGCCAGGGTTCCATCCTAAATGAACAAAATTGGAATTTTGAGCATGGAGTATAGGCTTTGGTGTTTTTTAAAAAGCCCCCTGTGTGATTTGAAGGGGCAGCCAGGGATGAGAACCATGGCACTAGGTGATCAGATGAATTCTTGATTCAAGTTGCAGGCGGAGGTCTGGCGAGGGAGTTGGTGAGGGACAGGGTGCCCTGAAGACATTGACCTAGATCCTGAATACTATGACAGTATGATAGCTGGTGATACAGCTCTGCTTAACTCTTCTCTGAAGCCCTTTTATAATACCTGCCCCCTGGACACCATAGTTTAGAGCTTTGAGAGTGTCAATGATGAGTGTGATAAGTGGGGATGAGAAGCCTCCTTGATATGTGACAGCCTCCAAGGCCCATCCCCTGGGCCCACACACTGTCCAGTCTCCTGGGTGGTAACTTTATTCACAGTGTAACAAAAAGACACAGTGTCTTAAATGCTAGCAGGACGTTTGGACTAATTGCAAAGGCTGTACATAGACCACCACAAAAGCGGGTTACACCACTGTGTTACTTCTTACATTATTACGAAGTCATGTGAGAAACCATCATACTTATCTCCCCCATCACACCCATGTCCAACATCTAAAGTTCAACCTCTTCTCTATACCTTCTTCTCACTGAAGCTTCTACCTCATTCCATCCCAAATCTTGACTTTACCTGAGGTACCTACATCATCACTCTTACTTTGTAAACAAACAAACAAAAATACTATTTTATTACCAATTGATATGCAATACAGTTTTCCTAACACGACTCTCTAATCTCAAGCCATACATGAAGCTCCCCCATGCCTCATTCTCCATTTACCAAATATCTGCCCCTCACTTTGTTTCCAAAACCCTTCCATTCTTCATCCTATGTAAAATCACTTTTTCAAAACAAATTACAAAATAAGGTGTAAACCGGATCTCCCTAAACCTGACATACAAACTACCCATAATCTTCAGCATAACTCTGACCCACTACCCACTAAATCCCTCAGCTTTTGTGATGTCATGTATTTATTTTTAAATAAACTTTAAATTTTAGAATAGGTTTATATTTACAGAAGATTGCAAAGATTGTACAGAAAATTCCCATGTCCCCTGCACCCAGTTTCCCCTGTTAACACCTTATATTAATATGGTGCATTTGTCACAATTATGGAACCAGTACCAATACATCATTATTCACTGAAGTCCACGCTCTATTCAGATCTCCTTAGGTTTTACCTAATGTCCTTTGTTTGTTTGTTTGTTTGTTGTTCCAGGAGACCATCTAGGTAATCATACTACATTTAGTCATTATGTCTCCTTGGGCTCCTCTGAGCTGTGACAGTTTCTCGGAGTTTCTTTGTTTTTGATGACCTTGACAGTTTTGAGGAATACTGATCAGGTATTTCATATAATGACTCTATATTGGGATTTGTCTGTTGTTATTTTCGTGATTAAACTGGGCTTATAGATTTTGAAGTGGAAGATCACAGAGGCAAAGTCCCATTTTCATCAGATCATATCAAGGGGACATACTGTCCATATAACCTAGTGTTTTTTGTGTGTGTGTGTGTTGTGTGTGCGCGTGTGTTTTTTTTTTTTTTTTTTTTTTGGCCGCTCTGCGGGGCATGCAGAATCCTAGTTCCCCGACCAAGGATCAAACCCGACCCCCCTGCAGTAGAAGTGTGGAGTCCCAACTGCTGGACTGCCAGGGAAGTCCCACACAACCTAGTGTTGAAGTTAACCTTGATCACCTGGCTGAGATAGAGTTTGTCAGGTTTCTGCACTATAAAACTACTTTTTTTTCTCTCTTATACCATCCGCTTTGGAAGGAAGTCACCATGAGCAGCCCACACTTCAAGAGGAAAGTTGTTCTCTCTCCTTAAAAGCCGAGTATCTACCTGAATTATTTGGAGTTCTTTTGCATGGGAGACGTGTCTCTTTTCCTTTATTTGTTTATTTCTTCAATCATTCATTTATATCAGCATGGACTCATGTATATTTATTTTATACTTTGGGTTATAATCCAATGCTGCTTAATTTTGTTCCTGAAATTGTTCCAGCTTTGGTCATCGGAAGCTCTTTCTGTTGGCTCCTATGTCCCTTTGACAAACCTTCAGCAATGCGATTTTTTGAGAGCAGTTTTTTACTTTCTGGAACTATAAGATGCTCCAGGTTCGCCTTGTATATTTCCTGCCCTAGTCCTAGAATCGGCCGTTTCTCCAAGGTTCCTTTTATTGGAGAATGGTATTAAAAACCAAGACCTGGGTACTAGGTGTGTTCATTGCTATTGGACTGTTCATTTTATTTTTTAAAACAGCAAACGTACAAGGCAGATCTCTCTGAATCTGACTTCAAACCATCCCTGACCCTCCATCTATTCTGCAATCTCATTCCAACGTAGACTCCAGATCCATTCCTTATGTAAAATCAGTGCTTTCTACTACTGAATAATATAGCAAACAAACATTTCTGATACTCATTCCATCGCTAAAAGAATACCCTCTGATTATAAGTAAAAATCTCTAATTTCATAGCCAAGTAGACATCTATTCCCATCACTCCTTCCCTGACCCCACCCTATCTGTACTATATTCTGTTTTTCTGATGAAGTAATATGTAAAGTATGCATCCTTAGTACATCCCTTATCTTAACACTTTCTTTGACCTTTCATCTACTGCTGACTTGACCTCTATCCCTGACTCCATTCCAATACCTTATCGTATGTAAAATCAGCACTTTCAATGATCAATTATATAGGAAACAGGTATCCCCCAACACTAACAAAATTTCTGATCCGTCCCATCCCTAACTCCTATCCTAACACTCATATAATAATCATAGTAATAAAAATGCTGTTCTATGAGCATTTAATGTAAAAAATGGACACACATGACCCTCAACACATCACTGACACTCACTTGATCCTTATTTCTACCAAGCCCCTTTTCAGTTACAGATCACTCTTTTACAGTGTTCAAGCAATATTCAAAACAAACATCCCTGGTATCATCCCATCATTGACCCTGAAGTTATCTTTAACTCTCGCCAACTATTTGACTTATACCTGCTCCTTTATCCCCTGTGATTGTGTGATTAGCAAGTAATATGAGAAAGAAATATCCTTAATTTTGAATCCATCCCTAACCATCATCCTATTTAAAATCACTCTTTGTACAGGTAGTAATATTGTAAACAGAATTCTTTGATCCTCATTCACACCATCGACAACTGTCATGTAATTCTTCCATTTAAGTAAAACCACTATTTTATATTAGCAAGTATTCCCCCCAAAAAACAAGAACCTCTGTAGTGCTCACCATACACAAGATCCTCATCCATCACTAACCCTTACATCACATCTGCTACTAGTCTTCCTAATCTTGTCACCCTCGATAACTACGCTATTCTATGTCTTATGTAAATTCCCCACTTTCCAAAATTACCAAGTAATATAACAAACAGATGGAGTTTATTCTTGTATACCTGATTCTGACTTCATTCTAGTTCTCCACTTGGTCTCTTACTGTAAATAAAATCGCCGTAGTTTTAAAAGTTAAGTAATGTGAGAAACAAGCATGCCTGACCCTTACCACATCTCCAAAACAAACATGATCTTATACGTTCTGTAAAGGTCACTTTTTAAAATTAGCAAGGAAAATGCAAAATAGTCTTCCCCTACTGTTATTCCTTCCCTAACCCAGTCCCCTTTTCTGACACTTTCATAGCTTTTCCTTATAACATCACCCCACTGTCAAAAACCCTCAACCTACCTTCATCCTTACTCATAAACTTTTACCTGAATCTTCTACACTATACCATATCCTATCTTAAAAATTGCTATTCTTAATTACCAAGCAGTTTGAGAAATCATCCTTGATACACACTTAATCCAGGCCTTCACCCTAACCCTGACCCTCTTCCCTTGAAATATTATTTGTTTTTTAATATAAAAATAAATGTGAGAAAGAAAAATCTCTAATTCTATGAAAAATCCTGGTATCATTTCCAACTAATATGCATTAAAGTCCAGAGACTAAAAAGAAGATTGTAACACTGGGCCTGAAACAGTGCAGGTACTCTATAAACGTTAAGTGAATGCAAATGAGTAGACAGTTTCACTTATGGTTGATTTCAGCCACTGAAGTCAAAGGTGGCACTTTCTATAAAGTTCTCTGTTGGCATCTGTGATCGGTGGTAGACATAATTTAGCTCCATAGAGGGTGTGGAAAAAAGGGAACCCTCCTACACTGTTTGTGGGAATGTAAATTTGTGTAGCCACTATGGAAAATAGTACGGAGGTGCCTCAAAAAACTAAATATAGAGTTGCCATATGATTCTGCAATCCCACTCCTGGGCATATATCTGGAGAAAACTAGAATTCAAAAAGATACATGCACCCCAATGTTCACTGCAGCACTATTTACAATAGCCAAAGCATGGAAACAACCTAAATGTCCATCGACAGAAGAATGGATAAAGAAGATGTGGTACATATATATTATACAATGGAATATTACTCAACCATGAAAAAGAATGAAATAATGCCATTTGCAGCAACATGGATTCAACTGGAGATTATCGTACTAAGTGAAGTAAGTCGGAAAGAAAAAGACAAATACCATATCATATCACTTATATGTGAAATCTGACACAAATGAACTTACCTATGAAACAGAAATGGATTCACAGACATAGAGAACACACTTGTGTTTGCCAAGGGTAAAGGAGAGCAAGGGAGGAATGGATTGGGAGTTTGGGACTAGCAGATGCAAGCTATTATATATATAGGATGGATAAACAACAAGGTCCTACTGTATAGCATAGGGCACTATATTCAATATCCTGTGATAAACCGTAATGGAAAAGAATAGGAAAAAGTATGTATATATATGTATACCTGAATCACTTTGCTGTACAGTGGAAATTAACACAACAATTATAAATCAACTATACTTCAATAAAATACATTTTAAAAAAGAAGGTCTAAAATTAATAAAATTGGACAACTGTTTTGGGGAAAAAAGTAATAATTTAGCTCCATAAATGTGAATCAGGAAAAAAGAGGACACATCACTGTGGAAGAATGAAGTCAGAGGTGTTAATGGATGTGTGTGTATATGTGTGTGTGCAGGTAAGTTCACCTCTTTCTTCCCCGCTCCTTTCTGTTTCTCTCCCCTCCAATCTTATCATCCCCGTAATGCCATTTCAAACTGCCCTTTGTGGTTTTTCACCCGCGTCTTCTAAAACCTGGCTGCAGAGGGAGGTACAGTAGCCACTCTCCACTCCTCCCTTCCCTGGGACCCCAGATGACCAGTACCCAGATAATTCTTATTTTAAGGATATGACTCTTGACCATGCTGGGAAACATTCAGGGAATAGCAGGGCTATCACTTGCAGAAACAAATTTAAAAGAACCTAACAGTTCTCAAAAATCACCATCCCGTAGTTCTCAGTTTCACTTTGACTCTTTGACAGTCCCTAAACCAAGATCCCAATGGTCTCTCGTATTGTCCTTCATTTCCCTTCCTCTCAACATGCTGTCTTTTGAGAATCTAAGACCTGAAGATAGAAAATAGAACTCCATGAGGTGCCCTCTTGATTCTGCATGACAGTGGTCTAAGAGATTTTCAAAAAATAGTGACCTCCCATCCCCAATTCGCTAGACCTCTGCCTTTCATTCAGGAATGATTTCTGTTGGTTTCGTGTAAGAACATGTCATAGGTGAGGTTATAATTTATGTCTAGCGGTCATTCTAATATACTTCCGGGGCCTGGCCTAACATAAATACTAGTCTGGACCATCATATGATTACTTCAGCAATGCCATCCCCATGAAGAGGAAGTACACGTGTGACCACAGTGAGGTTTCTAGAAAATGCTCTTTCTTTAACTAGGAAATAATGCGGGTGAAGATTTCTTTAGTCCTAGATGAAGGGGACAGCAAATTCTTTCTGCAAAGGATCAGATAGTGACTAATTTAAGCTTTGTAGGTCATATATGGTCTCTGTTGCATATTCTTCAGTTTTTCAAACAACTCTTGAAAAATGTAAGGACTTTTCTTAGCTTTCAGGCCTTACAAATACAGATCACTGGCCAGATTTATTCTGTGAGCCATAGTTTTCCAACCCCTGTTTAGAGAGTCAGTCTCACCTCCCAAATCCATCAAAGCCCTCCACCATTTCTTGGGCTTTCCATAGTACCAGTACAGATTTATGATGAATTTACCTTCTCTGACTCCTGAAAAGGGCCTATGGAATTGATTTTTGTACATAGTGTGAGGGAGGAGTAAAGTTTCATTTGTACACATGGATACCCAACAGTACCAAGACCACTTATCGGAAAGGCAGTCATTTCCCCATAGACTTGAAATGCTACTACTGTCATATATCACTTGTCTCATTTAGATAGCTATGGATTTCTCACCAGTAAACATGGAGAGCAGAAGACAGTGGAACATCATCTTTATTTTAATTTTATTTTTTATTGTATTTGATTTACAATATTATATTAGTGTTAAGTGTACATTGAACATTCTCTTGAAAGTGCTGACAGGAAAAAAAAATCAACCCAGAATTCTGTATCCATTGAAAATATCCTTCACAGATAAAGATGAAATGTTTTCAGAAAAAATAAAACTAAGATTATTTGTCACCAGCAGACATATACTAAGATAAATGCTATAGGACATTCTTCAGGCTGAGGAAAAATGACACCAAGGGATTACACAGATCTTCAGGAGCCAACAAAGAACAGCAGGAAATCTGAATATCTGGGTAAATACAAAAGACTATACAGTTAGTACTCTCTATCCATAGGTTCTGCATCTGCAGATTTAATCAACCATGGATTGAAAATATTTGAAAAGTAAAAAACTCCAGAAAGTTCCAAAAAGCAAAACTTGCATTTGCTGTGTGCCAGCAACTATTTACATAGCATTGACATTGTGTTGCAATTATTTACATAGTATTTACATTGTATTAGTAATTTACATTTACATTAGTAATCTAGAGATGATTTAAGGTATATGGGAGAATGTGCATAGATTATATTCAAATACTACGCAGGGTTGCTACAAACCTACAATTTGTAAAAAATGCAGTATCTGTAAAGTCCAATAAAACAAAGTGCAATAAAATGAGGCATGCCCATAACTACTTTAGCTTTGTTATAATTTGTGTTTATATAACTTTTCCACCTATTTAATTTTAGTCTATGTTCTGCAGATTTAATGTACATTAAGCATCATACGGGTGGGTTTTCCTTACTTATCCATACTGTCAATTTCTGCCTTTTAATTGGAGTTTAGTCCATTTATATTTAATATTCATATGGTTGGGTTTACATCTACCATTTTGCTCTTTTCAATTAGTTCAATCTGGTCTTTCTTCCTTTTTGCTCCTTTTGTGTCATATTTCGAATTATCTGGGTGCTTTTTAAAATACCTTTTTTTTTTTTTGCGGTACGCAGGCCTCTCACTGTTGTGGCCTCTCCCGTTGAGGAGCACAAGCTCCGGACGCACAGGCTCAACGGCCATGGCTCACAGGCCTAGCCGCTCCACAGCATGTGGGATCTTCCCGGACCGAGGCGTGAACCCGTGTCCCCTGCATCGACAGGCAGACTCTCAACCACTGTGCCACCAGGGAAGCCCTAAAATACCTTTTTATTCCCTCTCTTGACTTATTAGATATACCACTATTTGTGGTCAATGCTAGAGTTTAAAATATAAAACTTTTATTATATTCTACTCTCAAATAATATTATACTGGTTTAGGTATAAAATAATGGAATAAAGTTACAAGAGGGTACTTCCCTACTCAAATCTTCTGGTTTTATTTACAGATATTTTACTGCTACATGTTTTAAATATCACAATATATTGCTATTATTTTTATTTTATGTAGTCAATTTCCCTTAAGGAAATTAAGAAAATGTAAAGCGTGTTTTATATTTGCCCATATATTTACTATTTCCAAGAATCTTCGTCTCTTCTTGTAGTCCAGAGTTTCCATATGTTATCATTAAAGTTCAGCTTGAAGAACTTCCTTTATTTAACACATATATTAGAGCAGGTCTGCTGGTAACCAATTCTATCAGCTTCTGTTTGCCTGAAAATGCCTTGTTTTGCCTTAATTTTTGAAGGTTAAATTTTCTGGGTAGAAAATTATAGATTGACAGATTTCTCTAACAGCGATTTATAGATGGTAATACTTTGGCTACTTTGCATCAAATTTAATATGTCATCTGTCATTGTTATAGCTGTTCTCCTCTATGTAATCAGTCTTTTTATTCAGCCTACTGTTGATTTTCTCTTTATCAGTGGTATTTAGAAACTTGATTATGTTTTTCCTTATTTTGGTTTTCTTTGTGTTATTTGATCTTCCTCAATCAGAGCATTTATCATTTTTATTTAATCTGATAAATGGTTTACTTTTTTTCTGCAAATATTTTCTGCCCTTCACTCCTGCAATTTCTCTCTTTTCCTTCATGAACTCAAAGGACATGAATGTTACTTTGTATTATCCCAAAGATCACTGTGACTCTTTCCATCTTTTTTTTAATTTACTTTTTTATTTTATATTGTAGTATAGTTGATTTACAATGTTGTGTTAGTTTCAGGTGTACAGCAAAGTGATTCAGTTATACATACACATATATCCACTGTTTTTCAGATTCTTTACCCATATAGATTATTACAGAATATTGAGTAGAGTTCCCTGTGCTATACAATAGGTTTTGTTGATTATTTAAAAAAATAGTAGTGTGTATATGTTAATCCCAAACTCCTAATTTATCCTTCCCCCTTGCATTTCCCCTTTGGTAACCATAAGTTTGTTTTCATCTTTCCATTTTTTAGCCTTATTTATCTTTGTGCTTAAGGTTGGATGATTATTATTATGTTTCATATTCACTGATATTTTCCCCACAGTGTTGAAAAATTATATGACTTTTTCATTTCGTATAGTTTTTCAGCTTCAGAATTTCCATTTGGTTCTGATTTTTAGTTTCTATTTGTTTATTTAATTTTCTGTTTTGCTCTCTTATTATAGTCAGATTTTTCTTCAAATCCTTAAATGTATTTATAAGAACTCTTTTATAATCCTTGTTTGTTTGTTCAATTTATTCAGTTATATCTAGGCCAGGTTCTATTGACTAATTTTTCTTTTGGTTATGAGTCACATTTTCATGCTTCTATGTGCATCTAAAGTTTTAGATTGCATACACACATATTCTTACAAACACATAAGGGAATCTTCTTCAGACTTCATAAAGACTAAATTCCTATCTCTATATCTCACACCATTGATTTATAGGAAACCAAATTATCTGACCTTCAAGATCAAACTCTCTCAGTTTACTAAGAAAAAGAAACAGAAAATGAAGGACTGTTTTCTCTATTTTATGATTACCTACAACCATAAACACATTTGGATTCTAAAGAGTGAATATGCACAAAGCAAAGTATCTGGAAGGCTTCAAAGCAAACTACTAATAGGATCTACCTCTCAAGGACACAAGGTAGATTATATGTCGATTACATCGCAAAAAAGCTGGGGGGAAAAAGAATACAAGGTAGAGCCTAAGTGTTTTAATTATGCCTGTCTTAAGGATTGAACTTTTGAAAACAAACAAAGGTTACTTTTGAAATTCACAGAAAACAAAACAAAAATGTTCCCATTATAAATTTAATGAAACTGCAAGTTATAAAGGATCAGTTACCGTAAGATGCTATTTTTTTCTATAGAAATAGACGTAGTTCTATGTACATTCTGGAAAGATTAAATGTCCTACCTTTAATGGTCGTGGAAACAAAAACTTTTGGCTAATTATTACTTAACATAAAATCCAGTGTTCTTAGGTATATTTAACGACATTTGAAGTGACCTTGCTACAAAAGATAAAAGAGAAAAGCATGGAAAAAGGAAAAATTTCTAACCACAAGAAAATCCCATATATAGATGATGTCAGTTAAAATTTATAGCCAAAAACCCCTGTCCAGAAGCACGGAAACACATACACATGCACACAAATACAATGGATATAGAAGAAAGGACAGAATGCGATAGATTGAAATATCAATTGAGTTTACGTCAGTGAGAGTATCCTCTTTCTTGTTTTATAATTGATTTATCATTTCTTTGCCAGATGCATGTATTATCATTAGAATTTGACCAAGAATAAAGGAAATGTATGAGTATCCATTTATCCAATGCTGAGTGAAGAAACAATGACAAAAAGCTCCACCTACAGTATAACCAGGATACAATTGAAGAAAATAAATAATGATGTGTTCATCTGTGGTTGAAAGTTTGTGTGTTTCAAGCACTGTGTGAGCAAATAGGGGAGTTTATTGATGAGCAGTAGACTATATTTATTTAGTTAAATAATATCAGCTCTTATGAATGAATGGCTGTACATCTTGTTCACAACATTCGAACACATGTACCCATTAAGCTGTCCATAGTGGTTCCCTTGGGATAGGTTGATTTGGGATGAAGTATTTCCATATGTCTTTCAGAGATGTGGGTATTCTGCAAGAGTCTTCACAATGTTTGTACTATACTGTAATTCAATAGCAAATCCAGAACAAATATGTGCAGAAAAAATTATTGGTGACAACTTGCTCTGTTGACCTCAGGAGGCCTAAGGAATATGAACATACACAACAGGAGGATTGAAGAGACAACCATATTTTATAAGTCCTTGTCTGTTTGAGGTGGCATTGCTTGTGACTTGCTTGCACTTCTTTATAAATTGGCTGTTGTAGCTGGACTTATTGTTAAGAAGCATGTCTAATTTTGAGAAATTCCAATCGTAAGCGGCTACTCTTTAAAAAATAACCAGTATTTCAAAGAATATTTAATGAAGTTTGGAAAGTACTCTAGCCTCAGTAAATGCAGAAAACATATTTGAACACCAGAGGTCTGAAGGAGTTTTAATTTAATTTTTAGAAGTTATTAGTATATTGTGTAAGAGGTGAGAATGACATTTTAAAAGTCTTTATTCTTGTTGGGATGGAACTTCCATTACTTTTGGCCTTATGACTTCTCAAAATTTGAACAGTTTGCCTATAACAGGTATTTCTTTTGTAAATCTCTTGGATGATAAGGCTCTTCCTACAGGAGAATAAAGAAATTCCAAGTTCTCCAAATATGTATATGTATATGAGAATATGGAAATTGTATAAGATGATGATTTTGTCAGAACTACCTTCAGTATGCATCCAATTATGTTCAAAGAGAAATAAACATACATATTTCTACATCATATATAACCATCTATATGTCTACGCATGTGTAAAAATGATATATCGTATATTTTAATCATAGTGATTATTACAATAAGAATGCAATTAAACTTCACCTCTGTGTCCATATATGCATGTGTGGAGTTTGTGTATGTATATGTATGTATATATCTATATCTATACACATACATACACACAAATATCTATTGATATTTATCTTCATACACAATAATAAGTTTATATTAAAATGGATTTATTGGGACTTCCCTGGCAGTCCACTGGTTGGGGCTCTGCACTTCCACTGCAGGGGGTACGGGTTAGATCCCTGGTCAGGGAACTAGGATCCCACATGTTGCGTGGTGTGGCCAAAAAAAAGAAATGGGATTCATTCATGTGTCATCATTTGGATCATCTTTTCACTTCTGTTTCCTGGGCAGTTTGTCATGTCATTGTCATAAAAAATTTGCAAGACTTAATTTTTAATAAGTAAATAAATAAACATTGATGAAATATTATTGATGACTATAAAAAAAAATGAATGCTTTACCTTGACTCTTTGATAGAATACACACCTGGATCACAATATGAGAGTGATGTAGACACAGACTTTATTTATACAGTAATGTAATCTGTTCTTATATTTTCTAATAATAAAATGTTAAGATTAAATTTTAGATAAAAAATATAGGTTAAATTTTTGAGAAGGGGGAAAACCCTATATTTTCTGAGGCATACATGTATAGTTGTCATTCAATGTTAGTTTTAAGACTACATATATATCATGTTGGCATAATAAAGACTAGAAAACGTAGATCTTCAAGTAATGATGGCTGAGGGGTGACATCATAGGCATTAAATTTCGGTTAAATAAGTGTCTTATGAACTGAACATTTCTCTTTTTTTAAAATAAATTTATTTATTTATTTTTGGCTGCACTGCGTCTTCGTGGCTGTGTGTGGGCTTTCTCTAGTTGCGGCGAGAGGGGGCTACTCTTCGTTGCAGTGCGCGAGCTTCTCATTGTGGTGGCTTCTCTTGTTGTGGAGCATGGGCTCTAGGTGCGCAGACTTCAGTAATTGTGGCATGCAGGCTCAGTAGTTGTGGCGCACAGGCTTAGTTGCTCTGTGACATGTGGGATCTTCCCGGACCAGGGCTCCCCTGCATTGACAGGTGGATTCTTAACAACTGCGCCACCAGGGAAGTCCCTAAACTGAACATTTCTTCATTAGGATCCTAATATTTTTGGCGAATGTAGTGATCAAGAAGCTCTCTGCCAATGTTTTATTTACTAAAAATCAGGCCTTGCAAATTTTTCATGAAAATATAATCCAAACCATGACGTACAAATAAATCTCATTTTAATGTAAACTTGTTTTGTATGAAGCTAAATATACATGTATGTATGTGTATATTGAAATGAGTGCATGAGTGTATGGAAAAAGCTTGTATGGGCATGTTAAAAACATAATCCAAATGTTTTTATCAAAGGTACTAACAAGTACTGTTTATGACAATGCTTTACTCTTGACCAGCACGCATTTATTTTCTGAATCCTTTGCAAGCACCATGTCGTATTTACGTATGAGAAAATGCTATATGACTGATCCCTAAGATATAATCAGTGAAACACACACACACATTAAAATTGTAGGAAGCCACTGAAGGCCCTATAATGATGTAGGAATGTGCCTGTGTTCCAACGTTAAATGATGAAACCATGAGGCCAAACCATGTCTGTCCCCTCTGACTGGAATTTGTACATATTTGAGTATGTGTATCATTTCACATGGGCACTGTATAATATGAAGTCTTGAGAACTATCTAACACTTATCTTAGGCTTCCAGACAAATAGCTGCCTCTCCCTAAATACACCCAAGGACTAGTGCCAGGCCAGTAAATGGAGGAGGACTGCCAGGGAACCTGGGAAATGAGCCAGGTCAAGAACCACAAGTACTAGTGCCTAGATTTGCTCTTCTCCAAGCCCTTAGGTGCAAACATTTTCTTTTCCCCCTTAGGCCTGGATCCCGGAGGTTTGCCTCTTGATATCCCAAGACAGTTTGGTAACAAAACACTTGAGATATAATGCTGAGTGAAGAAAAAGTAGAACTGCAAAGACTAGGTAAGTGGAAATTGAGTTCTTGAACCGAAAAGTTGCCTGAGGAGAGAGTAGGTTTAGGCCTCAGTTTGATTGCAGATGTAAACCAAAAGCAAAATCACAGTAGCGTGAGCATGTTTCTTCAAACTGAGCAAGAAGCAAGGCAGCCATATTTCTTCCCGCCTGTGTCTCTTGGTCACAGTTTTTTCACACCCGACGGGCGGGAGAAGACGGCATGGGGGCAGTGTTAGGTAGAATTTCTGAAGCAATACTGCCATCGTGAGGAAGTCACTAGAAGAAGTCCCAAGGTTTCCCCTCTGAAAGGACTTTTACTTTGGAAAGGTCCCTTCTAGAAGGTGAGGAGGCTGAAGGGCCGGACCCCCAGCCAGAGCTTGATGTCTGCTCCAGAAGCCAACCAGGAGCTAAGGTGGGGTTCAGGTGTAGGGGCTGGCCTTTGGGGAGGCAGAACAGCAGCTGCCAGGAAGTCCAGGCACAGGAAGTCGTGGGGTGGGGTCTTTGTATTCTGCCGGGGTGGGCGGGACCAGAGGAAGCGCTAACAAAATACTAAGCCTGTGGGTAGTTTTCTTTCTCCCTGCCCCTCAGAGCACGTGGTGTTCCCTTGCTCTGGGACCTGGGCCCTTTGTGGTAGCAGAGTCAGAGCACAGAGAACAGGACAATTCCTGGGGGCTTATAGCAGGACGAAGTGTGTTGCCGGAGGTCTCAGGTGCACCCAAATTGGAGCTGAGAGAGCCTGAAGAAAAGTGGGACCACCCAGCCAAGCCAAGAACGGTTACCACTTCTGCTCTGAGAGCAGATCTCGCACAAACAGATGGGAAGCAGAAACAAGGGGAGAGGATTGAAGATGAACCCACGATTTAAAAGTCCTTGTCTGCAGGAGGTGGCATTACCTGTGACCTCACTTCACTTCTTCATACATGGCTGTTGTAGCAGGTACACTGTAAAGAAGCATGATTGTTTCTAGAAATGCGAAAACAGGTGGCAAAGATTTAAAACATGTCAGAACTCCAAAGAATATTTAATGATGTTTTAAAAAGCATTCAGGCTGCAAAGTAGGAAAACTTGTTTTAATGCTCAAGGTAGAAGGGAATTTGAACATTGTTTTTTAAAAGTACATATATGTGCAAAGTGAAGAGAGAAAAATGCATGGCAAAGATGTTTTAAAAGTGGTTATTTCTTCTGATTGAGGTACCAATTGTTTTCTACTTTATAATTTCTCAAAACTGAACGCTTTGCCACTAGGTATAACTGTTGTAATTTCTTGAAATAGAAGGGTTTTCTACAGTAAACTATAAAACATTTTCAAGCACTCAGAAATATATATTGATGTGCAAGTATGCAAACGGTATAAGGTAGTGCTGAGGATTGTGTAAAACTACAGCCAGTATGTGTCCAATTATGTTTAGAGAGAAGCAGACGTGTGTATTTGTATATGTGTGTGTAAACATTTATTTATATATATATATGTATATGTTTATACACATACATATATATATAAACATTTTAAAAAGCTGCATATTTAAAATGATGGTCAGTGTTATAGTGAGTATGCTTTTCAACTTGAAATTCTCAGTTGACATTTATATCCATATTTATATTTATATAAAGCAAGGCATTAATGAAAGATTATAGCTGCATGTGAAGGGTGTGAGTGCATCCTCCTTAAATTAAAGTCTTCTTAGGTTACACATCTGGGTGATGGAATTTGAGAGATACCAATTTCAACCTTCAATTATTGAATTCTGTTTTCGTTCTTTACAGGCTTTAAAGAAAATCTTAAGGTAAAAATTGGGTGTAAATTTTGAGTAGTATAAGAAAAGAAACCCTAATGTTCTGGCTCATGAGTATCCAGTGTCTGTTCCAATATTAGTTTTAGAAAAAAAAAATTTGTACCTGTATGTCATCGTATTAATGATCAGGTAAGGCAAATCTCAAAATCAAGATTCCTGAGTGGTGGCATTATTGGTATTTTAGGTCCTGTATATGCATTAAAAAAAGATTAAGTGAGAACCTAATTAATATTATTTAATTAATGGGTCAATCGAGTAGTTCTTTGCAAGTGTTTTATTGTCTAAAATCCAGGTCTTGCAAATGTTTCATGATAATTTCAAACTGCCCAGGAATCAGAAGTGAAAATTTGGGATCTAAGACAGCATGCATATATAAATCCAATTTAAGTGTAAATTTGTTGTAGTTTATGACCATAAAATATAGAACTGTGTTGTGTGTGTTGAAAGAATGGAAGTAAATGTGCAAAAGGTTATTAGTGCTTAATACAGACTTTCAGACAACACTTTTACTCTTGATCAGCACATGGTTATTTTCTAAACCCTTTGCAAGCACCATGTGTTAGTTGCTTATGAGAAAATGAGGAAGACTGATCCCTACGAGTTAATTAAGTAGCATACACATAGATAATAATAAAGTCAAAGGAAGCTGTTGAAGGTCATAATCCCATGCATGGGAGCACTGTTGTGTTCCAGTGTTAAATGATGAAACCATGAAACAAAATCCTGTCCCTTCTGGCTGGAATTTATATACGTTTGAGTGTCTGTGTCACTCCAAGTGGAACAGTGTGTGGAATTCAGACTTGAGAGCTATCTGGACCCTCCTCTTAGGGTTCCAGCCAAATAGCTGCCTCCCAGTCAACACAAGGCCTAGTGCCCACTCAGAAAGTGGAGGACTCCCAGGGAACCTGGCAGTGAGATCAGTAAAGAACCACGTGGCCTAGCGCTTAGATTTGTTCTTCTCCAGGCCCTTACGTCCACCATTTTCTTTACTCTTAGCCCTGGATCCTTCAGAATTGCCCATTAAAGCAAATAACAAGGGACAATGTTGGGGATTAAGGCAGAGCGAAGAAGAGAAGACCGGCAAAGGTTTGGTAGAGTAGAAATGAAATTCTTGAAAAGAAAACATGGATGATGAGAGTAGGTGGTTTAGGCCTCAGTTTGATTTATCAGGGAAACTAGCAGCAAAAATATGTCTGTTTGAGCAAATTTCCCCCCCACAGGGCGATAGCGAGGCAGCTTTTTTCCTGCCTCCTTTGTGTCTTGGTGGCTTTTTCAGATTGAATGGGCAGGAGTAGGCCTGGGGTGGGTGGGGGGTGGGCTGGGTTAATTGGCTTTTCCAGAGCAATACTGCCACCTAGAGGAAGTAGTCTGACAAAACCTAAAGCTGTTAGCACTCCTGTGAGGCCTAGAAGTTGAGAAAGGTTTGGTCTTTTGTGAGGTTGAGTGGAGGCTGGCTCTGAGCTGGGCCTCCTTCACTTCAAATCTGAAGCATTTGGGTCTAGATATCCTTGAGGGTGTTCTTGGTTAAGGGCAGCCAAGGAAGATTTGGAGACATTTGAGAAAGCATGCCCCAGTGGTCAAGTATCCTATGAAGATGTAAGGTGGCCTCTGACCTCTTCACCCTACTTCAGCTAAGCAGATAGCAAAGAAAGTCTGTAGCAGATGAACTAAGCTGCCTGATTGTTGTAACAATTTGACTTGGTCATATGCTACACTGTGTACAGACAGTGACCCATATCTGCAGTTAGAATTGAGTGTGACAGAATTCCCTAGACCTGGAATTCTTCGTGCTCAAGAATTTTCAGTTCACACATTTTGGTATGCATTAAGAGACTACATTTGGCCAGGAAGTGGATGGAAGCCTAAAACAACAGCACCTTTCTGAGTCTCAGGAATTCAAGCATGATACCATGACCCAGTAACAGGAGATTGTAACTCTTGCCAACCCTAACTACTGCTTAACCATTGATACTCATCTCAGATCAAAAGCTGTTTCAGAATGAAAAGTCAACAAAAAAAAAACCCACCCAGTAGGAAATGTGGCAAAGGAAAGAACAGGCACTTTCCAGGCAATAAAAGGCCATGCAACACAAAATTCTTACTAGTAGAGATTCTCAAATTCACCAGTACCAAAATAAATTGCAATTCCACCTGTTCTCCTTATAACCCTGAGCAAGCCACTGAAAATAAAGCCATTAATATCACCCAGTTTGTTTAATGATTTGTAGAATTGGACAACCTCCTAACCAGGTGAGAAGCATTGTCAATTGGCTCAACTCTTTGGAGGTCAGTTGGTCAGCATTGGTTAATCTTTCACAGGAGAATACCCTTTGTCCAGAGACTCTGCCTCTCAAGAGTGATCACACAGCCACGCTCCCACAGGAAAGCAGAGAGGTGGAGCCAAGGAGGATCACTGAGTTTTCCTTTATAAGAATGGATAGTGAGGAGGGGCAAAGGGTCCATTTTCTGGGTTCAGCTTCAGCAAGTTCAGCTAGAGCAGGCAGTCTTTGTCAATCTTTGGAAAGACTGAAATCCATTCTCTTGAGTCCTTCTCAGGAGAGATGTCCAAAAATTTGATTCAGGGGAAAAAAGCAAAGCGTTGAAACTTCAGGATCAAACCATCCTAGGTGTCTAATACAAGGAAAATGAAAAGCAAAAATAAAGTCTGTCTTTTTCTACTTATTACATACATGGTTAATTCAAGTCGAACACATAAACACATGTATTTTAAAAAGTGAATAGGCACAAGGGAAGTATCTAGAGTGTACAACCAAACAACTGACAGTGTCTAACTTGCTAGAGTGATGTTTCCAATGGCTTGCCTTCAAGTTTTAACTTTCTACTTGTCTGAAGTCTTGAAGTGTTGAAAGCAAGAAAAGCTTGCATTTGAAATTTTTTAAAAAAGAAACGAACGTTATCCCAACATGCAATTAAGAAAAGAGTGTGTTACAAGATCTATTTTTCTTTTAAATATGTGCACAGGTCTATGTATATGCAGGATTTAAAGGCCTCACTCTTAATTGTTATACAAACAGAATGGCATTTCTAAATCGTGCTTAACAGAAAATCCTGTTTCTGAAGCATATTTAAAGTCGTATGAAGAGGCGTTTATAAGACCTAAGAAAATGATGATAGAAGGAAGCAACTCAAACTGTAAGGATATTCCACATGTATCATGTAAGTCAAAATCCATACTAGCAAACTATGACAGCCATTACACAGGTGCCCACACATGTATAATTATATAATAAATGTAACATAAAAGCAAAATGCAGTAGATCAAACATCAATGGTGTATCTACTGAGTTCCTGTGACTTAGAGTATCATTTCTTTTTTTTTCTTTTATGAAAACAGATATTACTTTTTAAAACAATTTTTCTTAATTTTTAAAAAAGTTTTTATTGGAGTATAGTTGCTTTACAATGTTGTGTTAGTTTCTACTGTACAGCAAAGTGAATCAACTATACATGTACATATATCCCCTCTTTTTTGGATTTCCTTTCCATTTAGTATCATTTCTTTATTGCTTTATATTTCATCAAATTACTGATTCATTTCCAGATGCATGTTATTCTTATGATTTGATCAATAATAAAGGAATGCTATGAGATTTAACCATGAAAAACTATCATATTGCTCATGAATAGTTAATGCTATTGGCAATTGCCCACTGTCCACTGTTGACTCAAAAATTCAGGGCACCAAACTCCATGTACAGTGTGACCAAGATGGGTTTGAAGAAAAGAAATGGAAATGTTTAGTGTGTGTGTGTGTGTGTGTGTGTGTGTTTAGCATTGTGCTGAGGAATATAGGGAGTATAATGATGACATGTAGGCTAAATCTATTTAGCTCTTGAGAATAGTTCTATATCACTTTTATTAAATTTAAACCAACATACTCATCAAGCTGCTAATAGTGGTTCCCTTGGGAAAGAAGGATTTGGGATAAAGTGTTTCTATTTGTTCTTCATAGACTATGTATTTCAAGAAGCCAATAATATATTTGTAATTTGAGAACCAATTCAGAACAAATATGTACAGAAGAAATTATTAGCAAAACTTAATTTGGTGGCCATTTGAGACCTAATGTATTTATATCTCTAACTGATCACAGAAAACAAGAGCATTTGAGACACCCATATTTTGGAAATCCTTGTCTGCTTGAATGGGCATTACTTATGCCCTCACTGCACTTTATACATGGCTGAGGTACCTAGTAATTTTGTAAACAGGTATGCTTAATTCTAAGAAATGCAAAAAGATGGGGAGGCACCTTTAGACATATGAAGTATTCCAAGGAATATTTAATGATGTTTGCAAAGAACTCAAACTATAATCAGTGAAGAAAACATATTTGAACACTTGAGGTACAAGGGAACTGGGATTTTAGGCTAAAAAATATATGTGCACAGGAAACATGTAAGAATGTATGGCAGAGATAGTTTAAAAGTTATAAACTTTTGGGGCTTCCCTGGTGGCGCAGTGGTTGAGAGTCCACCTGCCGATGCAGGGGACACGGGTTCGTGCCCCGGTCCGCGTCCGGAGCCTGTGCTCCACAACGGGAGAGGCCACAACAGTGAGAGGCCCGCGTACCATTAAAAAAAAAAAAAAGTTATAAACTTTTGACTGAGGTGCCATTTATTTTTGGCTTTAAAATGTGAACAGATTGCCAACAGATGTCACTCTTTTAATTGCTTGGAAGAGAGACCTCTTTCTAGAATAAAATGTAAAGAAATTTCAAGCTGGGTAAAATATATACTGACACGAGACCACACAATTTACATACGGTTATGCAGAAGACTTTGTGTAAAACTACACCCAATAGAAATAAAATTATAATTAAGCAGAAACAAATGTGCACATGTATATATATGCATATAACATATACCTCATACATACTGTATATTCAATATATAAGTAGGGCAATAAAAAGCATTTTTAATAAATTATTTATAAAAATGAGGACTTACAAATTTTATATAATAGTCTTAAAATGCCTGGGAATCAGGAGTGAAAATTTCTTATGGAAACCATAATGTACTAACATTCAGTTTTTGTTTTTGTTTTTCCTTATGGTTTATTTATTTTAACATCTTTGTTGGAGTATAATTGCTTTACAATGGTGTGTTAGTTTCTGCTTTATAACAAAGTGAATCAGCTATACATATACATATATCCCCATATCTCCTCCCTCTTGCGTCTCCCTCCCACCCTCCCTATGCCACCCCTCTAGGTGGTCACAAAGCACCAAGCTGATCTCCCTGTGCTATGCGGCTGCTTCCCACTAGCTATCTGTTTTACATTTGGTAGTGTATATATCTCAGTGCCACTCTCTCACTTCGTCCCAGCTTTATTCCTGTCCTGCCCCTAGGTTCTTCAGAACCATTTTTTTTTTTAAGATTCCATATATATGTGTTAGCATATGGTATTTGTTTTTTTCTTTCCAGCTTACTTCACTCTGTATGACAGACTCTGGGCATATACCCTGAGAAAGCCATAATTCAAAAAGAGTCATGTAACATTCAGTTTTAATATAAATTTATTGTTGTGTTTGAACACAAATATAGAACTCTGTGTATTGAGAGGAGTGGAAAGACATAATCCAAAAGGTTATCAGTGGTCGTAAGCTTTATGGCAGTGCTCTGCTCTTGATCAGCACATGGTTATTTCTGAATCCTTGGCAGGCACATCTTATTAATGAGGAAATGGTTTTAAAACTGATCTCTAATGGACTGGGTTATCTGAGTAACCTCTGATTAGAAGATATATATATATCTTCTATATATACACGCATATATCCTGCCATGTAGGGCATTGTATAGCATTTAATGGTGAGAGCTATGTGGACCCTCTTCTTAGGGCCCCAGTCAAATTGCTGCCAACAACTCAACATACAGAACCTATGTCTTTACCTAGAAAATGTAGGAAAATTACTTGAGAGCCATAGAGATGAACCAGGCAAGGACACATGGATATGTAGAGATGCCCTCCTGGTTGAATTTTCAGCATTGTATTTTTCTGTTTAGGCCTGGATCCCTGAGACTTACCCACAGAAGCAGACAACTTGATAACTTGGGAAAAGGCTGGAGATATAATGTGCTGAGTGAACAAAAACAGAACTGTGAAGACGAAGCCTAGTGGAAATTGAATTCTTGTGAAGAGAAGACGCCTGATGAGGGTGGGTAGTTTTAGGCCTCAGTTTTCAGATGAAAACCAAAGCAAAAGTACAGCAGTGAGCAGGTTTTCTCAAACTGGGCAAGATACTAAGTAGCCATATTTCCCGGTGACTTGGCCTCTTGGTTACATTTTTTTCTAACAGGATGGGTGGGTGAAGAGGGCTGAGGGGACAGGGAGGAAAATACTCGTTGGCATAGATGGTGCACTACTGCCATCGTGAGGAAATAGTTTAAAATCTACCTACGCCGGCATTGCTTTCTTTACGTGAGGACTTTCAGTTTCGAAAGAGCCATTCAGTGGAAGGGCTTCTTGAGCCCTGGTCCCAAAGTGGGCCTCCCTGTCTTCTCTGAGTTATTATAGAAGTTCTGGCCAAAGTCCTAATGCTGGTATGACAAAGGTGAGGTCCAGGTGTAGAAGCTGGCCAGTGGGGCTGCCTGGACTGAGCCATCAGCCTCAAGGAAGTCCCAGCACAGGAAGTTGTGGGGTGAAACTGTCAAGTAGTTAAAAATGGACTTATACACACATAAAAACACATCAATGCTCAGACTCCTGAAACTGAAGATAAAGAGAAAATTTAGAGGACAGCTGGATACAAAGACAAGATATTCCCTGGAGAGGAACAAATATAAGATTTATAGTAGACTGGACAAGCATTATGCAAGCTATAAGGAAACAGACTGGCATCTTAATGGTACTGAAAACAAAACAAAACAAAATAAAAATAAAATTATCAACCCAGAATTTTATACCATCAAAAATGTCTTTCAAAATAAGGAGAAAAAAAAAAGGAATGTGGTATCAGATAGACACCCGAGATTGACCCAAAGAATCAGAGATCTAGAGAAATAGTTAAAATGAAAGTAAATACAAAAGACATTTTTCCTTATTTCTAATTGTTTTAAAATATATTTGACTATCAGAAAAATAGTAGCAGATTTTATTTTATTTTTATAGTAAATTTTATTTTATTTATTTTTAAAAATTTATTTTATTTTATTTTCGGCTGCATTGGGTCTTCATTGCTGCGCACGGGCTTTCTCTAATTGCGACGAACAGGAGGCTACTCTTCGTTGCAGTGCGCAGGCTTCTCATTGTGGTGGCTTCTCCTGTTGTGGAGCACAGGCTTTAGGTGCGCAGGCTTTAGTAGTTGTGGCTTGCGGGCTCAGTAGTTGTGGCTTGTAGGCTCTAGAGCGCAGGCTCAGTAGTTGTGGCGCACGGGCTTAGTTGCTCTGTGACTTGTGGGATCTTCCCGGACCAGGGCTTGAACCCGTGTCCCCTGCATTGGCAGGCAGATTCTTAACCACTGTGCCACCAGGGAAGCCCAGTAGCATATTTTAGAGGTATAATGACAGCACAAAAGATGGGAAGCAAGACCATATTGTCATAAGGTTCTTACAATATATGAGAAGCGATACATTATTTGAAATTAAACTGGGATTAATTACATATATATTTTTTAAACCTGGGTCAACCACATACAAATTTGAAAAGAAGTATAACTGATGAACTAATAGTGATAAAACTGGAATCATAAAAAATGCTCAGTTGACCCACTAGAATTTCAGGAAAGATGAAAAAAAGAACAAATAGAAGACAACCAGCAAAATGATAGATTTAAATATTTCCATATTAATAATTACATTCAATGTAAATGATCTAAATAATCTATTTAAAAGGCAGAGATTTTCAGATTGTATTAATAAAAGTAAGAACCAAGTATATTCTGGCTATAGGAAATTCACATGAAATATAAAGATATTGATATGTTAAAAATAAAAATGATGGGATAATATATACCAAGCAAACACTAATCAAAAGAAAGCCATAGGGCTTCCCTGGTGGCACAGTGGTTGAGAGTCTGCCTGCCGATGCAGGGGGCACGGGTTCGTGCCCAGGTCTGGGAAGATCCCACATGCCGTGGAGCGGCTGGGCCCGTGAGCCATGGCCGCTGAGCCTGTGTGTCTGGAGCCTGTACTCCGCAACGGGAGAGGCCACAACGGTGAGAGGCCCGCATACCACAAAAAAAAAAAAAAAAAAGAAAGCCATAGTGTCTCTTTTAATCTCTAAAGGGAGCCCTAACGGTGAAAGATATAGACAAAAACATACAAGAACTGCATTGGAGAAGATCAACTTTAAGGGAGAAGAGAACTTTAAAAAATAATTTTTCTCAATATCTTCAGACAGGCAAGAGATGATATTGCAACTGTGATAGAGAAAAAGGATACAATGAAAAAAATAATGAAAAAGAACACAACAATTAAAAGTAACATAGTAGAAATACAAAACTCATCAAAGAGGTTAGAAAAAGACCATACTTGTAATTTTAAAAATTGAAAAAGGGAAAAAAACTAAGAAAATTAGAGTACATCTGTAAATGTGATTTATTATCTGAATAATAGGAGTTCTCAGCAAGTTCACAGAAATGTAAAATATGATATTCCAGGTTGAAAGGGGCTACCAAGTTGCCAGCATAGTGGGTAAAAAAAGACCTACCTGAGTACATATTATGAAATTTCGGAACACCAGTTAACAGGGAAGATCATATAACTAACCTACAAGTATGAAGAATCAGAATGACTTTGAACTTCTAAACATCAACACTGGAAACTAGAATTCAGTGAAACAATGTCTTCAAAATACTGAAGAAAAATTATTTCCAACTTAGAATTCTATACACAGCCAAACTTTCAATGAAATGTAAGAATAAAGATATCCTTAGATATGCAAGGTCTTAAAAATTTTGCCTTTTTCAAAAAGTTACTTTACCCTATGCTTTAAAAAAAAGTTTTACAAACAATTAAAAAGGGGAAAATATGGGTTTCATGTAATTGGAGATCCCATAGAGGAGATACGAAAAAAAAAATCCCCTGAATGTGGATGAAAGGAATATCAGAACGTTAAGCACCAGAGAGAGGGGAAACCAGGACACATTGAAGGGGGTAAGAGAATTATGAGATAAATTTTGCCAAGTAGATCAAATTGATACAAATAATATGAATGAAATTCTTGAGAGAGATTTTAGATAGCTTGTATACTTCCATAGAGGAATATATATATATATATATATATAATAAATTTATTTTAGTCATTATGCAACAGCAAAATAGGATTTTAAATAACATCTGTTTTCGTCATCATATATATGAAGTATAGGGATATTTCATAAATAACTATGATAAATTAATGAAACAAATGGAGTTATTTGTTTAATGTCTAGAAAACAAGCCCCAAGAATATATGAAGATTTTGGCAAGATGCTCATTATACAGTATGTGAACAAAGAATGATATAAAAATAGATACTAAGTATAAATCTATTCTGTGAATAAAAACTTCATATTATATCTGCAAAGGAAAGAAAAGGGCCATAAAATTTTTAAATTCTAGTTATGTATAAAAGTTAGGAATATGAACATTTATTAATTTCTAATTCATAATCTCTTTAGTTTTGAATATTTTAAAGTGGTGTGTATCACCTTAATGTATGTGGGGAAATAAAGCTATTCTCATAGCAAAAAGATTAAGGATATGGGCCCATGTACAATAATTAATGTGTTAAAAATATAGGACAAAATTAGATTCAATATGATCTAACACATAATTTCTAAAAACTCACATGTGCAAACATATTCATATCCACCAAATAAATTCATTTCTGTTGACAGAATTATATAGTTTATGCCAATGTATGTAAAAACAGATTATTAAACAAATACGTATGAAAAATATCATTTAAAATGTACATACAGGGGCTTCCCTGGTGGCGCAATGGTTGAGAGTCCGCCTGCCAATGCAGGGGACATGGGTTCGATCCCTGGTCTGGGAAGATCCCACATGCCGCGGAGCAACTAGGTCCGTGTGCCACAACTACTGAACCTGTGCTCTAGGGCCCGCGAGGGTCAACTACTGAGCCCCCGTGCCACAGCTACTGAAGACTGTGTGCCTAGAGCCTGTGCTCTGCAACGAGAAGCCACCACAATGAGAAGCCCGCATGCAACGAAGACCCAATACGGCCAAAATTAAACAAATTAAAATAAATAAGTTTTTTAAAATGTACATACAATAAAATGTAGTAGTTCCACCTGAAAAGCAGACATTGGAAACGACACAAAAATTCAAAATATAGACAGGAATGCACTGAAATCTTAAGTTCCAATAATATGTCCCCAAGATTCACTAGAAACAGAATAATCTTCTATCTGTTCTAAACTAAAGAAGCAGAAATTAGCTCCTTCCATAGAAGTGAAAGAAACATGGTAAAAATAATATACATTTTAAAATTAAAAAGTAAATAAATATAAGGGTACGTTTGGTGTCGCATGTAGGACGTGCTGTTAACCAATAAGAGTTATTATAGACCTTAAGAAAAGAATTCTCAGGAGCTGAGTCAAAAAACAGCCTTCCACCAAACACAAACATATTAATGTGTCCTAGAGAATGGATGGAAACTCCCTGGGAATCTAGGAGGCCCTTGAGGACAGATGACTAGAGGTGACCTCCAGGCCTGGAACTTCCAACATTTTCTTCCATTTAGTCCTGGTATCCTGAGACTTGTCCCTAGAAGTTAACTTGATAATTGGGAAAGTGCTGGAGAACTAATGCTGAGTGAAGAAGAGCTGAACTGTGAAGCCAATATCTGGTGGAAACGTAATGCTTGATGAAAGAAGATGCCTGATGGTGGGAGTGGTTTAGGCTTCAGTTTGATTATAGATGGAAATGGAAAGCAAAATCACAGTAGCGTGAGCAGGTTTCCTCAAACTGGGCAATATGTGAGGCAGTTTTGTTTCCTGGTGCCTTTGCCTTTTGTGTTTTCAGACTAGATGGGCGGGAGAAGAGGGCCTCGGGGCAGGGCCGGTTGACATTTCTGGAGTGCTCCTGCCATCATGAGGAAATCATTTGGTGAAGCCCTAAGCCATCAGTATTTCCTCCCAGGAGACCCAGAAGTTGAAGAATGTTGGACCTGCAGGAGGTTGAGCATCCCCTAGCTTCAAGCGTTGCATCCTTGCCTTCATCTCTGAGGCCTTCCAGGATACGTTGACAAAGGCAAGATATAATTGTAAAAGCTGGCTAGTGAGTGGCCAGGACCGAACAGGCAGCTGCCAGGAAGTACAAGCCCAGGAAGTCAGGGTGGAGCCCCTCCCAGTGCAGGCAAGATTATAGGAAGCGATTCACAACCTAATGCAGAGGTTATGATCATTTGCCTCCTCTTCCTGTCCCTTGAGCATGAGGCAGACAGTCTGGGACATAGAACTTCAGGACCAGGACCTTGGCACCATTTGGCAGCAGTGTCAGAGCTCAGAGTGCAGGGAGAAAAATCTCACTGTTTATCATAGAGGATATTTTGAAGAGTGTATTTGGAGCCAAGAGGCAATAATTGATTATTGACAAAGTGTCATTAGCTCTCAGGAGTGTCTTGGAGACATTTGGTAGAGTATGCCTCAACGACCCCAGGTGCCTTGTGAAGGTGAAAGGTGACTGCCGACCTCCTGAAATTATTTCTGCTAAAACAGACCAAGAGAGAAAGCCTGGATCAGATGTGCTGGGGTGCCTGCCTTGGAACAGTACTTTGACTTGGCCACATGGTGGAGTAGAGTAGACAAATGTATGAAGACTGAATTGTAGGCAACACAAGAGGTGGCCTCAGGGACTTCCTTGGTGGCTCAGTGGTTAAGAATCCGCCTGCCAATGCAGGGGACACAGATTCGAGCCCTGGTCCAGCAGGATCCCACATGCCTCAGAGCAACTAAGCCCATGCGCCACAACTACTGAGCCCACGTGCCAAAACTACTGAAGCCCGTGCGCTTAGAGCCTGTGACCCGCAGCAAGAGAAGCCACTGCAATGAGAAGCCCGTGCACTGCAACAAAGAGTAGCCCCCACTCACCGCAACTAGAGAAAGCTCGCGCGCAGCAACGAAGACCCAACGCAG